ATGGCAAGTCGAATAAACAGCACCTTCAGTTCGTCTGAGGAGCTGCGTGAAATGGCAGGCGCCGCAAGTTTTTCTGCATGATGTCGCCTGCAGGAATGGCAGCAAGCATTGCAAGCTTTAAACTCGCCTCCTCAATCCAGACCCATGAGCGAGCCTTAGCATTTTTCGGTGTGCATCGTTGGATTTTTGCCAGCTACATCAGCCAAGGTCATTCAGCTCCACTCCGGAGTATGTGTTCCAAAACGCTGAGCGGTACACCTTGGGACGCGCTGTCAAGGACTGGCAGCACAATTGAGGCTTCGGCTACGTCGGCATGCATGTTCTTCTTGCGCGCAGTGTACTTGCAACCTTTTGCATCGTGGCAACAAGTTTTCGATAGGACATGGCCCGCACTTTCCGACACCATCACGACACGTCTTTAGAAAAGCTGCGCACCTCGCCTTTTCTCATGTTCCTCAGGGCGCCTCGGCCTTCTCTTAAGCATTTAAGCATAGGTCAAGCAAGTCAAGCACAGGGCACATATGGCACATGGTACGGCTGGTGTTTTTTGCGAGCTGTACATGTACCTTTCGGTGCTATGTTTCTGCTGGCCACGCCTCCGCCAACAACAAAGAACAACGCCAATTTTTTCGGTAGTTTCTTGATGTGGACATGGGTTGCGAAGATGGAAGTTCGCCTTCAAAGGGTTCAGGCATTGGTTTTAGCAGTGTACAGGACACGATGTGATAGTCAGTGACAAAGCGTTTTACGTTCTGTTACAATCTGCTCTGCTCACAGAACGCCAGCCAAGGTTTGGCACACCTATGGCATTTGGGTTGGTGCATGTGTGTATTTTACTATCTCGGCAAACTTGATGCTGGCGTGGTACATCGACTGGTATCGGACCAGCAGCACGTATGGCCTTGAGTGCTTAGCTTAGAGATTCTCTTTGATGCCAAAGTACTGTCGTTCTCGAACCTCAACGTGCAGCATATCTCTAGTTCCAGGTCGCGCGGTGCTTCGGAAATCCTGCACTTCCCCCTAGCGCCTTTCTTCGCCATCTTTTGTCGATCTTGGTTGCTGGTGTGCCTAGTGGGAGAGCTGCTCCGCTTCTGCTACCTTTTGGCAGCAGATGCATGGGAGGAAGACGCGTGCTTCAGACGCACTTGGAGCTGAGCCACTTTTGGTTTGCACTTGCGACCAATCATGCTTGATACTGCAGGTTTGTTACTTACAGACGCGTGGTTTGTGGCGATTTCCAGCGCGACCTGCAAGACGATCCAGAAAAAGGGCCTCTTCGTTCAAGGCGGTGGTCTTCCGAGATGTTGAGATCTCCAGGCCGGACTGAGACCGCTCCGAAACAGCAGTTTGTCCACAATCATACGAATTGCCGTGCAATCATACCTTTGACTTGTAAGGATGCCGTTTTCTCGACATTCTGCTTCAGAGCTCAATCTACCTCGCGTTGGACGTGGTCCCGTTGGTGTGCTTTCTTGCATCGTACATTGAGAAGCAGAGCTTCGCGTTACTGGACTACAACGCGGAAATGTTAGCTGTTGCCTTGATAGGCCGAGGTCATAACAAGTAGACTTACTCTGCTGCGAAGGGCACATGTGAGTCGACTCGAGACTCCTATGGATCATATCTTGCAGAATATGGTAGACTTGTAGCCAAGAATGCTACGGATCACTTTGTCTAGCTTCTGTGCAACACTTTGTGCTCGATGCCTGGTTAAGCAGCGCTTTCTACACGCTGGTGTGCTGACAATGCTCGTTTTTCTTGAGGAATGCGTCGGTGGCAGCGTCTGCTGGGCTTACTGGTGGTTGTTTGACTGCATTATGTTGACAAACCAGTACAACTTCGAAAAGGGTGTGTGTGTGCCTTCTTATGAAGCTGAGGAAGCTGTATCCATGTGTTTCTCTTCTTCCTCGCCATGTGGGTCACTGATGTCGTCACTAAATATCGTGCCTTTCTAGCGGCATATCGTGGCGAAGCTCGACTGGCTCCCTGTGAGTATCCAGGAACGACGCCCGTGTCTTCTTCGAGTGTAGATTGCATGAGGTCTGTCGCCCAAACGTTCGAGTCTCCGGTTCAGAATCGTTGCTGGCCAGGAGAGTCATTGCAGAACTTTCAATGGGCGGGCGAGTTTGGCGACAGGCATCTCAGATGAAATGGCAGGTAAAGCTGAGGTTGCACACGTCTTTAACCGGTCCTGTCCAAGCAATTCAACTGGTGGCAAATACAGAGAAGAGCTCCTCGGGTCCAGGCATTTGGCCAACCTGGAAGCTGCTCGATGTGTTTCCTTCGTTGAGGTCGGCCCCCCTGAGAGTGTGCTGAGAGCACTTGCTGAGAGCACTTGCTGAGAGCACTTGCTGAGAGCACTTGCTGAGCACATGCGCGTTCCGAGCCCTGCCCAGAGGACTCCCAAGATGGCCCTCCCGACCGCTGCTTCACGCCTCGCAGCGGAGGTGGCGGAGGTGGCGGAGGTGGCGGAGCACCCTGGCACGGGCATTGGACAATGTAGGAACTGCTGAGGATTGTTGATTGTTTTTGAGTAGACAGAAACGGGTGCGCTTCATGCTCAAACTGGGGAGTGCCCGAGATCGCCCAAGGTGTCACTGGGTGACAGACCCGACCAGAGTGCGGCTTCTCTTGGTACCACGTCGGATGTTGCTAGAAGGCAGAGAAACAATTCAGAAGTGGCGTTTTGCAGAGAGTTTGAGGTGGCTGTGGCTGCCAGGTCCGGTGGATCGCTTCAGCTCATGTCCCAGGCCGTGTCCCCGGGAGCCTTCGGTGTGCAGGACACAGTGGGAGCACAAACGCACGGAGGTAAGAGAGCAGAGCACACACAGAGAGTTCACGGATTTTGCTTCACCATCCCCTAGCGTGTGTTGTCTTATCGTTTTGCCCCGCGCTGACACGAACCTCTCTCCCTCTCTCTCTGTCTCTCTCTGTCTCTCTCTTTCACTTTCACAGTATGAGAGGAGTCCAGCAGAGGCTCCGTGTGGATTCCGCCCAGGCTCGGCAGCTGATGAAACAAAACAGAGTAGCATAATGTTGCATGGTGCGCAGATCTGCAAAGGTCGGAGATGCTGATGGCCCCGCCCCAGGGTGGAGAGACGGCGAGGCCGTGGCCATAACATGCCTTCGTAGCCGAGCAGGATTGGCATGCCATTGGCATGCCATGTGCCGAACTGCAGGTCCTTCGACGGAGTCTCGAGGGCAGTTCCGGCCTGTTTGGAGACCAGAGCATTCTGCAATATTCTGCAATATTCTGCATTTTGTTGCCTTGCTTTGGTCCTGCTTCGAATCTGCAAGGCCGACCAGTTGAACCTGTGCGTGCCATTGTGCGCGTGCTTCGGGGCAACTTTGGTGTGGGACCCGGCAAAGAGACAGAACCGCATCCTTGGCTCGTGATGGGCCTCAGCAACGCCCAGTTGAGAGAATGCTCGAGTTGGCATCAGTTGCGGAAGCGTAAAGGGACGTAAAGGGACGTTTTGGGTAATCAGTCGACAGAGCGTGAACATTCTGCAAGGCTGCTGAACACGCAGCACTAAGCAGCCTATAGGTGTGGCCTTGTCATATCTTGAAATCATACATAAGGCCCTTTGTCTTCCGCACCTGCTCTGGGCGGTAGCCTGAGCTGGAAGGTCTGCTCTGAAGATGTGCATGTCTGCAACAGGCTCATGTGATGACAGCTCCAAGTAACATGAGCATAGGTGCAGATGAGACTTGCTGAGGCGACAGTTGTGATTGTTGGTTGGCAGGCCGAGCATGCTTGGTTAAGTTATTTTTGTTGCGGGTATTGGGGACGTGGAAGCCACCGCTTCGACAGCCAATACTAGGTGAGCAACTGGGCGTTGGTTGTGGCCGGATTTGCTCTCATGGTAGTGATCGCCCTGCGCTTGGACGGACACTTCTTTGGCAGCCTGTGCGATTTGAATTGCAAGTCTGAGGTATGTCGTGGATTCTGCACTTCAGGACGGGTGTCACAGTAAACGGATCTTCTTCCTGTCTCAATTCACGGCTTCCATCACAGCGTAGTTCCATTGTGTTGTCCTGACTTGTATTGATTTCGCACTGTTTGCTTTGTCCTGGTCAGAGGGACAGGCCCAAAGGATCTGGGACGCCCGAGGCAACCTACAGCCTCCGGATTTGTGTGGCTGCACGTCAGGTGGCCCACCCACTGCCGAACGACCATGCTTTCCTGGTGCCGGGTGCGCGAGCATGTTTTCAAGTGTCCAATCGCAGGAGTCAAAGGTTGCAGTTTTTGGTGCAAGATGGGTTGACCATTTCTTCACCACGCAGTGCTGATGCACTCAACCGCGAGTTAGACATCTGCCACGAATTATACAAGAAATTTCAGAAACGTAAAACGGTCTGCCTGTTCCTCGCACCGTCAAGATCCCGTGCATTGCATTCACATCAAGCCTTGAGTTCCAGTTGCATCAGTGCCCCGGCATCTGCGCTCCTGTGCGCCCACGGGGCAAATTGCCGGATGCGCCGTTGTGCGCAGAAGAGCAGTGCAAGATATTGGAAACGGGGATGTTGGAGGTTTTTGAAAGGTTCATCGCAGAGGCGTTCCCATCAGTCCTTGATGTGGAACAGTTGCAGAGGGCAGGGCAGAGGTCTGTGACATCATTCCTGATCATCTACAGCAAGTGGAAGCTCACTTGATTACAGATTGGCCACGGGTATCATGGGCGCCCATGCCGTGCTTGCATGGGCACATACTGCATGTTACTACGATACACTGCAAGACTGCAAGAGGTCGCCGATTTGATGAAGGATGCAGTTTAACTTGCTTCCATCCAGGTCTTGGGAGCTCTGGGTTCGAGACTGAGAGAATTCAGCGCAGTTCACACCCACGCTGTCTGCTTGACTGTTGTATCGATAAAAGCTGCAAGGCGTTGCAGGCCTGGGGTGAGCATCACTGTGGGCTGAAGTACGAGGATCAGCTGTCGAATCCTCAAATGTCAAATGATTACTCTGCGACTGGACGGTTGTGTCACAACAAGGTCGAGCAGCATAACCTTTTCGGTCGTGGTCCTCCTTCAGGCCAGGCGACATGCGGCAAGGTTGGCAATCGATTGCCGCTCCGCAAGCTGACGTGTTTGTATCATTTCTATTGGCATGAATTTGATGGATCACGTTGGGTTTGTCAAAGCGTCTGTTGGAACATATACCAGTGATGGTTAGGAGCTGGCCAGTCACGAAGCTGTATTTTGGCAATCTCCATATATGATACCATCACCCTCGCTGCACATCAAGGACTAAGCTTTCTGATAGGTGTCAGCGGGCCAAGAAGTGCAGCATTTTTTCTGTTGATGGGCTATGCCCTCGCAGCTCTGACCTCTTCAGGGTTGTGGGGGGGGTTGCTTTGAAGGCCGTCATGTGCAAGTGTTGCAATGGGAGACATTAGGAACATCCACTCGAGGGCCATGTAGTCAAATAAAGCTCGGCCCGAGCCGTGCATACGGCGTCTGCATTACACATGTTTCGTGTGTTGAGACGTTTGCATCGGTCTTTTGCTGGTGCATCCAGCTCTTTCGACTACCTTGCGTCTAAGAAGTCACTCCAGCGCAGGTCCACACTCAACATGCTTTTGAGTCAGCTGACTGTTTGCAGGGTGTCCTCTTTGCCGCGCTGGGCCAGTGGATAGGCATGGTGGCTCCAGTCTCAGTGGCGGGATGGGTACAGACGTCAGATGTGCTGAAGGTTTCACATGATCTGGGCCTGTTTCGTGATGCTTTTCTGGGGTCTTCTCAAGGTATGCCTCGGTGTAGTGGTCCTCACCTTCCTGCGGCTGCTGCCCTTGTGGTGTCTGTAGAGTGTCCGTGGTACGCCCTCTTGCTTAGCCCTCGAAGGTTCTGCACGTGTAGTCGACAAGGCATCAGATGGCCTACCGGGAGCGGCCGTGGGGATGGCTGCTAGGACACTCCCAGCTCCTCAGAGTGAAGCTGTGCCTAGACCTAGACCTGGACGTGAAAGTTTCACGCCCACGTTCTTGGGATGCCTGTGTGGCTCAGTGCACGGCTCAAGCGTAGTAGCTCGCTGAAGGGAATATAGCTGTGGATAAGTTGGTGGAGGCACTGGACAGGCAGCCATCGTTGGCTGCAATTTCAAGCCTTTGCTGAGGGGCGTTCTCTGACCTCTGCTCATTCCCCGGTACCCTTTTTGCATCCCGACTGCGCTTTACCGCTTCACAAGGCGATGTCTGCGGAAGGAATGACGTACCCGTGCATCTTACGCAGTGTGGCATGGCCAGCAGCGAAGCAAGCGTGCACAAGGCTTGAGCCGGCGCTGTTCGGCTCAGGCACGGCAGCAAAGAGCGAAGCTGCCAAGGGGTTGATCACCACTCCCTCGACGAGTTGCCCAACACCTCGCTCACCGGCATCCCCTTTGACATTGCCAGCGCCCGTGAACATCCCGGAGCCTTCCTTGGCATCTGGGGATGTACAGCCTTTCTGGTGGTGCCTGTCAGAGGGTGATGAAGGTGTTCTCGGCAGTCCTTCTGATGAGTCGGAGCGGCCTGGACACCTAAGCTCCTCGTCAAAAATCATCTTTCTACTGTCTCCTCACAGAATCGCAACATGTAGACGTGAAAGGTGCTGGAAACATCATGTCTTGAATTTCTATAAAACTATTAAATAAGGGAAGGAGGTACGTCAACAGGCAAAAAGTGCCCTCGAAAGAGCCCTGCGCGAGTCGCCCTGCGAATTAGACTCTGGAGTTCATTGGGCCACAGGAGTACTCGTGCTGTAAGGAAGCCAAGACCCACACAAAGGATCTCAGAGAAAGAGGAGCCTTCAACACGTCTTTTCATTTCCTTTTACTCCGAGAAAAAAAGAAGCCGCTCTCTCTATTCTTGGTCAGCGTTAGAGATCCTTTATACTTTTTTCTGCTGCTGTGCTCAGGTGCATAACAGAGGTATATGTTAATACCGGTTCCAGAGATCATGAGTCGACAGGCATGACATGCAGAACATGAACCCTTCCCGAAAGCCTCTAAATCACATTGAGAACTCATACCCGAATGTTCATCCTAACCGCCGCCCATGCCGTTCGAGCAGCTGCTCAGCTTGGGGCCCCAGCTTTCGGGGTTGATTAGCCTTAGTGGTTGGGTGGATAGTCTAGGCCCTGTAAAAATAATTCTGGGCTGTGCAGCCCTAGATAAGCCCCGGGCTGTGTAGCCCATAGGTTAGTCCATGTAGCCCCTGGTTTAGCCGATGGGCTGTATAGCCCCTAGTTTAGTCCATGGGCTGTGCAGCCCCTAGTTTAGCTGATGGTCTGTGTAGCCCCTAGTTTAGCTGATGGGCTGTGTAGCCCTTAGTTTAGTCAATGGGCTGTTGGGGCGCAGGTTGGGATTGGTGGGGGCAAGGTTTAGGGTTTCAGGGTTTCGGGTGTCTCTGCTAGCATCCTTTTTTTGGGGACCGAGCGTGTTTAACTAGCATCCTGCTTTTTGGGGACCGAGCGTGTTTCACTAGCATCCTGCTTTTTGGGGACCGAGCGTGTTTAACTAGCATCCTGCTTTTGGGGGACCGAGCGTGTTTAACTAGCATCCTGCTTTTCGGGGACCGAGCGTGGTTAACTAGCATCCTGCTTTTCGGGGACCGAGCGTGTTCAACTAGCATCCTGCTTTTCGGGGACCGAGCGTGTTTAACTAGCATCCTGCTTTTTGGGGACCGAGCGTGTTTAACTAGCATCCTGCTTTTTGGGGACCGAGCGTGTTTAACTAGCATCCGGCTTTTTTCCCCTAGTTCAGTCAATGGGCTGTGTAGCCCCTAGTTCATGCAGTAGATGCCTTAGTCGATGGGCTGTGAAGCCCCTAAGAAGACTGGAAATATATGAACCGCAACGATAATGATGGCTTGTATGGATACAGGAGCCGTGTAGGGTTGAGGGTTTAGGGTTTAGTGTTTAGGGTTTAGGGTTTTAATTTAGGGCTTATAGAAATAGAAAAGGTTTGTGTCCGGATTTTTGGGGGGGTCTGGGGGGTTTTGTTTTTAAACTTGAGTTATGGGGTGGTTGGGGGGGGTTGGGCGGGGTTGGAGGGGTTTGGGGGGTTGGGGAGGGGGGGGGGGGGGGTTGGTTTGGGAACCCCTTTTTCGATGAGGGTTTGGGGTTTAAGCCAAAAACTAAGCCCCTTCTCCTCACTTTTGTTTCCCATCAGCTCTTCCTGAATTATTGACGTGAAAACCCGACCCCCAAGCCCCCCACCCCCAACCCCCTGGTCTGGGGCTGGGTGCTGTAGAAGGTTGTGTTGCACCATTCAGGGTCTTGGTCTTTTTTGGTTGTCTGATGTTCTTAGACTGTGAGGGATTGAAAGCATACAATTTATATTTATCCTGGCCTTGAGGGTTTAGGGTTTACTTAGGGTTTAGGGTTTAGGGTTCAGGGTTTAGGGTTTATGGTTTTTTTTGAGACTTTAGGGTATAGGGTTTAGGCCCACATGCGCGGGCTTTTGCAAGGCTCAACCTGCCGCATTCTTCAGCGACGCTGCGCTGCCTCAGTCAGTGCCCAAGTGGGCAGCGCGCAGGTTTTTCAGTTCGGCATGGGTTGCAGGGTAGCCGTTTAAGTCGGAACGCAGCAAACGTCCAGCAAACGTGAACAAACCTGAAGCTGACACCCTGACCTCAATCCCGCAATGAACAGCATGTCGCCGCCCGATGCACCCCCTTTCCTGATACACCTTCCAGGGAGTGGAGGGATGAGGGTTGGGTGCTTGTCGAGGGTCATGCAATTGAGGTTTGGGCGCTTCTGGCCTTCGACCCTGTTCACGTCTTTTGTGGTCTGGGGTGGGGTGGTTGAAGTCATGGTTCTCATGGTTGCCATCTGCCATGTGGCCCCGGAGTGTCTGGGCAGGGTGAATGATAGAGGATTCATAGAAGAATACCAATATAGGTTTCTATATTCATTTCCTTCAGCATTCTTTCCGTTTTCTAATCCCCCAATTTTGTTCTGCTCTCCACACCCCGGGCCAAGGGGTTTAAGTCCACACAAGCAATGTAGCGATTTTAATACAAACCTCCTCGGGACCCGCCCTTTGTACATGTAGCTCGTCGCTCGAGTGATGTAATTCCAACGTACTCACGAAATTAATCGTGCCTGCGTTCGTTCTCAGTTTTGCAGCCATGGGCCGAAATGCCCGGCAGAAGCGCGACCGCGAGCTGCATGTGGGCGAGCACTGGGATGAAGAGGCCTTCGCTAAGGCACGCGAAGAATCTGTCTCTGAATTGGTCAGCTGTTATGAGTATTAAGGGCAGGCTACGAGTTGGCTGGGTTTAGAGTTCAGAGCAACCAACCAGGAATATGACTGAGAATGATTCATTAAGATCAAGCTCGCACTTGTTTAGCAGACTATCTCCCATGATCAGGAGAGGCGGGTCAAGGCGAAGGAGGCAGCTGCCAAAGCAGTGGTCATCCCTGCCAAGCTGCCACCCTGTCCAGGGCCGAAGCTGATCGCTGCACGCTTTCCTGTGCCTTCTTGTGCAAGAAGTAAGCATTTCCAGGTCTTATTAAGGTTTAGGGTTTACTGTCTTAGGGTCTTAGGGGTTTAGGGTTTTGGGCTTTTGGGGCTTAGGGTTTGGGGTTTAGGGTTTAGGGTCTAGGGTCTAGGTTCTTTAGGGCATTTAAGGCATTTAGGGTTTAGGGTAAGGGATTAGGGTTTAGGGCAAGGGTTTAGGGTTTAGGGTTTAGGATTTAGGGTTTAGGGTTACCCTTAATTTTAGGGTTTAGGGTTCAGGGCTCAGGCTTTAGGGTTTAGGGTTTAGGGTTTAGGGTTTAGGGTTTGGGGTCGAAACCCTAAACTCTGAACTTTAGAGTTGAGGGTTTAGGGTTTTAAGTTTCGGGTTTCGGGTTTAGGGTTTACGGTTAAGGGTTTAGGGTTTAGTGTTTACGGGTGTTTTTGATATTGTAAGCGTAGCATCCATCCTGTAAGGCGCCCCCGACACGCAAACTGCCTTTGTCGACAAAGCCCATGCCGCCGCGACCCAAGCTGGAGAACAAGGAGGAGGAGGGGGGGGCGTCAGAGCCGTCACAGCCATCACGGCTACCTGTCCCGGCCCAGGCGGACGTCAAGGAGGAGGTGGCAGAGGAGGGCCAAGCCAACCCCCCACCATGCCCTCCCCGGGCATCGGAGCCGTCACAGCCATCACGGCTACCCGTCCCAGCCCAGGCGGAGGTCAAGGAGGAGGAGGAGGAGGACAACCCAAGCTCCCCTCCACCATGCCCTCCCCCATCCAGCCCGCCTCCGCCAGCGAGTGTACCAGGATCCAACGCATGTCCCGCCAAGGCCCCTGAGCCGGCGATGCCCATAGCGGGGGGTGGTGCAACTTTGCCTTGTAGCAAAATCGTGTTTGGTTTAAGCTTTTTAGCTGACATTTTCTGTTGGATCATTCAGACTCGCCGGTGCCCTTGCTCAGGTGACCCCGCCATGGCTGATGTCGCTGCCCATGTTCGAAAAGTGGCTCTTTCCGTCTGGCAGCCCGCATCTTGGCGATCCACGTCTCCTCCTTCCCGGCAACTCACTTCTTGGCAGCCCAGGCAGTGGCCCACTTCCTGGGACTGGCCCACCTGGGACTGGCCCACCTGGGACTGGCCCACCTGGGGCCCACCTGGGACTGGCCCACCTGGGACTGGCCCACTTCCTGGCGCTGGCCCACTTCCTCCTGGCCCACTTCCTGGCGGCCCACTTCCTCGCAGCCCAGTTCCTGGCGGCCCACTTCCCGGCGAGCCACTTCCCAATCCTGGCCCGCTTCCTGGCACTGGCCCCTGCAATTCCCCTCCTGCAAAGGTGCCCTGGTAAGGAAGCCGGTCATGTTTGGTTTATTCTCTCATGCCTTCAACCACTCCTTTCATCGGTCTAATCGGATTTTGCTCTATTAGCCCCGTTCAAGGCATCCGGCCGACGCTATACTTTGGACGGGCCTTGGA